ATGGGGGGACCTCCCACCAGACACACAGTGGTTTCATGCCACAGAAAACCAATACAGCAGCCTCAGGTTAATGACGCCAACACCGCCACCTGAGTCCTGAAAACGTGATTTTTGGGCGCGTGTGCTCCGCCCTCCCGCCATTTGCTGTGAACACATGTGTGTGTGTGTGCTCAGTACACACGCAGACCGCACCCCAGTACTGCAGTGGGCATCGCCTCAGGCATCTTGGGTGTTCGGAGCTTGACCTCTAGCAGGGGATGGGAGGTGGCCCCAATAAACCAGGGGAGGACGGGCGTCGTGGAGACCGCTCAAGGACAGCAGGGGCCAGGTTCAAAGTCTAACGGCCGGTGGGGGGCCTGCAGAAACAAGGTGGCCTCCTTTCATGACCCCTCGGAGCCTTCCACTGCCTGCCATGCCCCCGCACATCCCCGGTCCTGTTCTCTGAACCACGCTGGTGGCTTTGTGAGTCACAGTGCCCCCCCACCTGTCAGCAGCTCTGCATGCACAGAACGCAGTCTTTCTCTTGGACCCCCAATGTCACGGTTGGGTTTCGTGGCCCTGGCTGGCGGCTCTTGGTGCGGAGCCTGGGCCTGCCAGTCTGCCGCTCCCGTCGTCCCCCAGCCGAGCTGACAGAACTACAGCTAATGCGTTTCATCCCTGCCTTCATGTTGACAGATGGACAGACGGACAGACATTCCTCCTAACAACTCCTCTCCCTTTGGCTTGGCTGGGAGTCCATCTGCTGGCTTGCGGGAGAGGACACAGAATTAATTTTTTTCAGCATCTCTTCCCTCTGGAATATTAAAGATGTTAGACTATCTGTTCCCACAGATAAGCTGTGATTCCGAGCATTAAAAAAATTGAAACCAGATTAATACAGACGTGACTGGGGGCAGTATCTTCGAGTTCAAGGTGGAGCCTTGGACATGGAAGGTCCCATGGCTTTGGGAAGATATTGATAACTGGGAACGCACCAAAGAAAACAGACCAGCCTGGAGAACCCTAGCATGAGCTGTTCGGTTTCCGTTCAATAACTTTAGTAACGGTCTCAGTTAAGCACTCAAGTATTTGTGGGCAGAAGTGGGTTATTGGCTTTCCTGGCACAGGAAACAGACTGGACAGTTTTCAGTGATGTGAAAGTTGCAGCAGAATTGAGAACAGGGGCCGTGGACGCTGAATTACAGCCACAGGTCACTTTCGAATACACGCGTTTCCACTTCACAGTGACGGCCAATTACATTCGGCGACGGCTAAATGCACACGTCCAGTGTGAGCAGAGTGGTGTGTCGCTGTCTTTGCCGGGGCAGTTGTTGGCATCGAGGCCCGACTGCTGGGCATTCCGAGTCTGTGCTGGGAGTGCCGGGGCGGCTCACCCGCACCCCTGGGTGCACACATTCCGCGAACGGCACCAGCGGGGCCGCAGGTGCCGCCGGGGTCCTGGGCACAGCTTTCGCTCCACCCGCGGCGCCCTGACCGTGTGACTGTGGCTGCGGAGGGAGACGCCCTGCGCGCTCCGATCAAGGACAACCTCCTGCACTTTCTGCCTGGGCGCCTGCCTGTGGAATCCACCTGCTAAGTCACTGTAACCAGAACCTCACCTGTGATAACCTGATCACCCTCAGCACCTGCTGGGCTTCCTCACGCCCCGCCGTCCCCAGGTGGGGGGGGGGTTGCCCGGCTGCCCCCAGCAAGGGTCCTGCTGGGTCAGTGCGGCCAGAAGCCCCTCACCCCCAGGCGTCCACCCGCCGACCCCGCCCTGCCTGTGGCTGTCAGTCCCCCGTCCCAGGCTGCTCTCTGAGCTGAGCCCCGTCTCTGCTGGCCTGCGGGTTCCCCGGCAGTGGCCCCACACCTACGGCCATGCCCCGCCTCCGAAAGTCTGTCTTAACAAGCGCCATGAATATATTTTTTTCCCTTAACATTAGTGCCAGTTGAAGAAACTGCAGCTCTAAAAAGACAAGTGCCTTGTCCGAGGTCCCGGGGCTGTGTCGCAGGGCTGGGTGACCCGTAGTCCCTCGTGGGTTCTGAACAAGGAAGACTAGCAGAGCGGGAGGCAGGAGAATGGGCCCGGCCTGTGACGTGTCCCCTTCATGGCAGAGGGATCAGAGGTGTCCACGGCTGTTGACCAGCATAAAAGGATCACTGGGGATCTCCTCTGGGGGCCCGGGAAATCAGGGTCCTGGGCGGGGGAAGGGGGGCAAACTGCCAGTGTCTCGGGGAAGGAATGAGGTCGTCTCCCACTGGATGATGGCTTTGCAGGTGGAGGTGCGTCACCAGCCAGGAGAGGTGGGTACCAGGGAGCCTGGAAACAGCGAGGGGAAGGTGAGAAAAGGACCTCTCCCGGAGCCTCCAGAGCGACTGCAGGCCTGTCTGCACCTCGGTGTGAGGCCTGTGGGGCCCGATCTGACCTCCGGAGAGGAAGGGAAGTCAGGAGGTGGGAGAGGAGGACTAGGAGTTGAGCTGAACATAGAAAAACACAGAACCAAGAGGTGAAGAAGGGGGAGAAGGCAGCTCCCGGGTACGGGGACCCCAAAGGGGTCTGCGGAGGTGTTGAGGCCCCGTCTAGAGAGGAGAGAGTTCATGCTCTGGGTGTTCTCGTAACTTGGCCGAAGACACTTGGACTGACGTCTGAGAACCAGGGAGGAGCTGGCCGGAATTCCACGAGCGAACTGCTGCATGCAGAGGATCTGACTGCGATGGGTTTTGAAGAGGCAGGCGCTAAATTTCTCCGTTTGAAAATGTGTTACCAAACACACACAGTAACAGGAAAATCAAGTGCACACATCGGTCGTACGCCAGCGACGGCACTCCGATCGTGCCTGACACCACCCACACACACACACACACACACACACACGTGTCGCCTGGCACGGCTCTGACCGCAGTGTCAACGCAGCGGTGTCTCCGACTCCGTATTATGAACCCCCCTCTATGTCACGTCAGTCTTCAGAACAGTCTGTGAGGGCTGTTTGACGTTTCACTGGCTGACGATCGCTTACTGAGTGATTTCCACTCTGCTGGACATTGGGCTGTTCCCATTTCTTTTCAAGGTCAATACTGCTGCACCTAGCAGCCTCAGGTGCTTGCCCTGTCTCTTTAAGAACACTGTCTCGAGAGACATGAATTTCTGGCTGAGGGTCCAGACGCCCCGTTGATTCCGTGCCGCACACCGCTGTGGTCAGCAGAGACGCCTGCTCTGATGTCTGCCTCTGCTGGTGCGCACAGCTGGCGTTCCACCGAGGAGAGTGGACACTCTGCTGCTTTCGGAAGGAATGTTCTGGACACGTCTGCTGGACAGATGTGTCCTTTATGGCCGATGTTTTTTTTTACTGGCTTTCTGTCTGGACGCTCTACCATTGATGGGTACACTGAATCTATAGACCACTTTGAGAACTGCCTGCCGTCTTACCAGCACTGTCTTCTGAAGCATGAACTGCCTGTACTTCTCTGTGTGTTTAGATCTTCGATTTCAGGTGTGCTTTGTAGGTCTCAGTATACAGGTCTTGTGCTTTGATTGTTAAATTTATTCCAATGTAGTTTATTTCTAGATGCCATTAAAAACGGACTTGTGTTTTTCCATTTTCAAATTGTTTACTGTTAGTATACAGAAATACAATTAACTTAGTATATTGATTTGTATCCTGTAATCTGGTAAAAATTGCTTATTATTTTTTCTTTCATTCCTTGTAACTTTTTACATATCACATCATGTGACCTGAGAACAGCTTTACTTCTTCATTTCTAACTGCGTGCCTATAATTTCTTTTTCTGGCCATCTTCTCTGGGTAGAATTTTTAATACATTATTGAGTAGAAATGGTAAAAGTGACATGCCTGAAAAAATTTAAAAGTCTGGACTCCCAGGACACTGGCGGCCCCCCGCGTCCTGCGTGGGGGACGGCAGCCCGGTTGTCCCTGGCTTCAGGGTCACTGGGAGGGTCACACGGGTGCCACACGGGTGCTCAACAGTGGAATGTTGAGCGCACGGCCTGGTGCATGTCGGCGACCTCAAGAAGCACCAGCTCCTGGAGAAAGATCTGGAGGGGCCACCAAGCACTGGGACACGGGCCCGGCGAACAGACCCCTGTGGGACTCCACGGCCAGGGCAGGGGGTGCGGGACGTTCTTTGGGGCTTGTCCCCAACATGGGTCCGAGCATTTTCAGTGGCTCCGCAGGCACTTCTGGTGTCGCGGGGGCTCTGTCCGAGCTCCTGAGCATCCAGGCGGCTCGTGGCGTGGTAAAGCAGGACCACCAGTGTGACAGCAACGGCTCAGGCCGGCCGAGGCACACGGAGGGCCCGCGGTTGTTGGGGCCCAAGTGCTGGGAGGGGACTGTTTGTGCTGACGCCATTTAAAAGCCACCAGCAAACCCTTCATTACTTCCATCTGTGTTACGACCCCATTTCGCAGAGGGTTAGTCTAGAAGCCGACCCGTTAGGTTGCGGAGGGACTTGAAATGTGAGGCAGAACCACCGCAGAGACGAGCAACATCACACGGAGAGCGGACGGCTGGGGATCATCTGTGTGGCCCCTCAGACCGGCGGGGACTCGGCGGTCCTCTGTCAGAGGGGCTGTTCTCTCTAGGGCACAGCAGGCACCAAGGTGGCCATGGAGGCCGGGACATGTCCACCCCACCGAACCACACTAACACTTACCAGGGCACAGCACGCCTTGTAAATTTCTCAGGGACCAGTGTCCTTCATGTCCTGTAGATGACATGTCAGAAAGATGCCAGTGCCTAACCAAGAAACTGCGGGGCTCAGATTGCTCCAAAATAAGGCAATTTAAAGTAATTCCCATCTTTATTTAACCAGTGAGCGATGAAGGTTCTGTGACCCTTGAATTCGGGTCATTACTGACGTGCACAGGCTGTGCCCAGAGGGGCGAGTCACGGCGTCTCTGCAGCACACGGTCAGTCACCGGAGAGTCACACGAAGAGGGTTCTGAGTACGGAGCCCACGCCGCACGAGGCACCCGGGACACTGTCCACAGAAAGGCCCCTTTCTGGGCGGTCCCTGCCTTACAGTCTGGGTCAGTGGGCCACCCGGTGACACTGTGCGGCCGCCTGCAGGTGCCGTGTGTGGAAGGACGCCCCTGTCACTGCAGCAGGTAGTCCTCACAGGCGCAGACCCTGTGCTGAGTGATCGAATCTAGAGAAAGAGAAGGAGAAAGGCGGTTTGGCAAAATCCTACCTTAAAACCATTTACGGCCCAGAGCTGCATTTTCCATATGTCCCCATAACAGGAATATGAAATTGAAATAAAATGAAGAGTTCGTTGCCTCAGACACCCAGGCCACATTCATGTGCTCGGTGGCCACGTGTCCATTACATGCGGCACACGGCCGGTGTCTGCATCAGGGCCAGGCGCGAGTGAGCGCCAACGTGAACAGACGTGAACGCAGACGTGAACGCACAGGTGAGCACCGGCCACGACACTCACTCCGCGCCCCAGGCCCTGTGCTGCTCGCTTCCCACGAGCTAGCTTCAGAGTGAGGCGCACTCCCCACAATGCAGGCCAGGTGAGGAGGGGGGCACTTCTCCGCTGGGAACTCTGTTCGTGTGTGAAGACTGCAAGAAGTCCCCCGGCCCAGGTGAGCTACGGGGGGCGTGAACAGGCCAGCCGGGGTGCACCCTGCAGCGGCTCAACGCGACCCCTGTGCTCCTCCCTCCCTCGACACTGCAGCGCCCGCCACTCCCCAGCCCCCTTCTACTCCAGGGAATGACAGATGTGGTGGGCCACGCCGATTACCACTGTCATCCGGAGAGGGGCCCCCTGCATCTGAGTCCCGATGACGAGTGATGGGAGAGGGAAAGTACGACAGTCGTGAGGAACACAGAGTAAAAAATGGGCTTATTCTCTTGGTACGGGAAGAAAAAAATGGCTTGTTTTAGTTGTGGCTCAAGACGGAGCCCGAGAATGGAGACGTAGCCTTCCTGCTAGGAATTGACGCCCTCACCGGTCATCGGTGAGGCGAGCGGGGCTGTGGGAGGAGGAAGGCTGACGTGGGCCGCCCGGATGCTGTGGGTTCTGGTCAGCAGTGTGCAGAAAAGAGCCGTGAGCAGTGAGGGTCAGCGCTGGGCGCACCACTTGCTCCGCAACACGGGGAAGCAGGGTGGTGGTTACGGTTCACAGCTAAATGTGAGGTCTTCACCTGTGATAGGTGTTTATCTATCTGTTTGTCAAGGCTTGTTGACTTTTCTAATGCGAATTTCTACCACGCAAAACTTTCTGTTTTCAAATTATACCAGTCTTTTCTTTTACCGCATCTGGATTTTGAATAACAGGTAGAGGGCCTTTCCTTATTCCTGGTTATAGACTAATTAAGCCCTAATTTTCCTCTAGGTTGAAAACGTCTGTGAATTCATTGTTTACATTGTCTTTGACAGGATATCCTTTTTAAAAGCTAGAAAAGATGGCAGAAAGCATGCTTTCCCCTGATTAATTGAATCCTAAAATCCCCAAATTAAAAAAAAAATTGAGAGGCTCATTCTGAAATTTATATGAAAGAAAAAATGCACAGGAAGACATTTTTGGAAAACAGGAATGAGAAAGTGATACACCAGCTGCCAAACACACTGTGAAATTATAGTAGTGAAACAGCACGTAATTAGCACAGAGCACATAAGTAGATTAGAGGTGACACCACAGCAGAGTTGTAAAGCAACATGAAAAAGATAAATAGCCCAATTTAAAAACAGGCAAGGGATAGGCAATTCACGAAATACAAATTCCCCTCTCAGGTGTTCATACTCATTAGCAACTTAGTAATTGGGGAACAAGTTCATTCATGAGACCCACTGTGTCAGTCCATCAGTCACCAAATATGGACAATGTGGGGGATGTCCTTGCAAGGGAGGGCTCGGGGTGCAGCCGTGCGTCCAGGCGTTTAAAGCACACACACCCGGGGCACAGGAAACTCACTTCCGTGGACGTGTTTCACGGGAACCGTTGTGCCTGGGGTGGCGCTCAAACGGCCGCAGCCCAAGGCATCCTCTTAAAATTGAATCCAATCACTCCAGTCAGAACACACAGAGTTTATAACAGAGGCAGCGGGGTAACCCCGAATGTCTACTGATCAGTGTGTCAATTTGTCCCAGCACTGCCGATGGCTGAAGAGAAGGAAGCACCCACACGTGTGTCAAAACAGAGGGGCCCCCTAGTCACAGAGTTCAATGAAGAGCTGTGGAACAGCAGGTGACCCTTCACTCATAGCAAGACGACCCCTCGTACGATACATGTGTATGTGCATTTATTTTTATGTAAACACAGTTTTAAAAACCCGAAAGACAAACTTCCACCCTCATTGACATTACAGTAAGGAGGGGCAGGTATGAGTTTGGGCTCCGTGCACTTCTCTACCGTTTGAATTCCTTGACCTTGAACTCAAGGGTCACTCCATGTATCTCTGCACCCATCCATTCAGCCACCCGCCCACCCACCCACCTGTCTGTCCCCCCCTCTATCCACCCATCCATTCACTCATTTACTCATTCACTCCTTGCGTTGGGGAAAGGCTGACTGGAGAAGAGTCAAGTTCTAAGTTTAGAGAAAATGAAACAGAAGCCTAAACGTGACCTCACGACGAAGTCCAGGCTGACCCCTCGCCCGCGCCTGCGGCCTCAGCCTGTGCTGGTCCTGCCTGGGGGCTGAGGACGGGCTGTGAGGGGGGGCCCTGAGGTGCCCTTGGGGCTGGGGGCCTGGGTGTCCCAGGCAGGCAGAGAGCACCTGACTGGCGGCCGGGGCAGCCCCACTTCGGGCCTCTCAGGGCTCTCAGTCCGCAGCTGGGAGCGCGCGCACATGCGCGCACACACACACACACACACACACACACACACGAGATGAGTTCTGTCCAAGTCCATCCGGCAGCGCTAGACGGCCTCATCCCCAAATTCCAATGTTATATCATACAAAGAATCAACCCTCAAATGCCCCATAAAACACGACCACAGGACAGATGTTAGCGCAATGCGGGCCTGGCCCGTGGAAACAGTCCGTGAACAGCTCTCACGGACTGTAATGGAAAAAACCAGCTGTGCACGTGTGTTTTTAACAAGGTACTTCCGCAGGCGCTCCGGGTGGCCTCCTGGTTGGGATATTAAGCCAACACGCTGCCGTGCCAACTTTTCACAGTGAGGCGTGCAAGTCACTTCATGAACTAAACCTCCGAGGGCCAGCAGCCACATGTGGCCACTGGTACAGGGTGCAGAGTTCAAGGGCACTTGGGACCCTGTCGGGAGTTTTAGTTTATCTTCTCAAAACAAGCTGCGGCCTTTAGAGCTGGGAGAAGGACCAGGGCCCAGGTGGGCAGATGCCCCTCGAACAAAGGAATCACCTCCGCTGCTCTGTGGAATCCGGGTCACCCAGTCCCTGGAGCCCGCAGGAGAACCGCGTCTGACCCGCTTCCTCAACTTACGGTCCTCTGGGGACTTGCAGGCTCAGGGACTCCGGCTTCACCTCCTGTTCCTCTGTCCCCTCTCGGGGTTCCAGCCACTCTGGACTTCCTGTCCCTCCTGGAAGCTCACCCTTGACCCTAGCGCCTCCCTGGGCCTTAAGTTCCGGCCCCTAAGACCAGCACGCCCCCACCCTTACACTCCATCTGGGCCTCAGCTCAAGCGCAGCTCCTCGGCCGGGAGACCCCTCACCATCACCCTCAACACGCACCCCGTTTTCCCCGCAGCAATCCTCGCCGTCGGCGTGTCCGAAAATGCTGCTGTCCGTCTGCTTAAGGCTGTAAGTCCCGCCGGACCGAGCCCCGCCTATCCCCTGTGCGTGGCAGTCCCGGTGGGGCCCAGGATGTGCCCGTCACGTGCCGGGGGCTCAGTGTCGGTCTGACCTGTGAATGAACGACCCGGCGCCGCACACAGAATGCCGGGAAGAGCGTGGTCTCGTGACGGCAGCCCTCCACGCCCGCCGCAGACCCACGCTTCCTGACACTTCTCCCAGGGTGCGCCGGAAACCGGGCCATGTCGCAGACGAGGCGGCCTGCGGGTCTCGCGTGACTCCTCGCACACCAGCTTCTGCTTCCCGCCCAGGAGACGTGAGTGAAACGATGCTGGTACAGGACTAGCCTTGATTCACTCGTTACTATTTTTCTATTGCATGTCACGTTTACTGGGCGTGAGACTGCTAACGACTTTAGCCCTGGCTGCTGTGGCTCAGTGGACTGAGTGTCGGTCCACGAACCAAAGGGTCGCCCATTTGATTCCCAGTCAGGGCTCGCGTCTGAGCTGCGGCCCAGGTCCCCAGTGGGGGCTGGTGAGAGGCAACCACACACTGACGTTTCTCTCCCTTTCTCCTTCTCTTCCCCTCTGTCTGAAAATGAGTAAATAAAATCTTTTTTAAAAGCCTAAACATGTGGGATGTTGAAACTGTGGAATTCCCTGACTCAGTTCTAGCCCCCGTTCACTTCTGCCCTGGTAGGTTTCACCTGCGGTGACAACACAAAAGAAAAGTGATTCATCTCATTGCCTGAAATTGCCTGAAATGCCAGTCACTTTCGTTTCTTTCTTCTTCTGTAAGTTGTTTTACTTTAGGCACAGCTGGTACACAATCTCATACTGCTTGCAGTAGTTCTGGGTGTGCGATACGGACGCGACATTTTTACAGCTCCCACTGTGGTCGGTCCACACATTCCACCAATCATCTGTCACCGTGTGAACTTGTCACAGCACTAGTGACCACACTCTGCTCTTCTCCAGAGAGGACCTGCCGACAGGCACGTGGGAAGATGCTCAGTGCCAACCACCAGGGAGACGCAAATCCAAACTCCCACGAGACACCACCTCACGCCCGGGAGATCGGCTGTTACCAGGAAATGAACGAGTACCGGGTGTCAGCCGGGATGCAGAGAAAAGGGGACCCTGGTCCCGGTCACCACTGGCTGTGGCTGCCTCACTGAGGATGAGAGCAGGTGCTCCGAGGGGCAGCTGGAGCATCCTTGCCCACCCCCCGCACCCCATTCTCAGGGGGCTGCGGCCCCCGAAGAGCCCTGGCACCGTCTGCTCAGTCTTGGGGTGCCCTGGGTGGCCTTCCGCTCACACAACCCGAGCTGCCAAGCAGGCGCCCCTCTCTCCCAGCGCCCGCCTGCCCTCGGGACGAGGTTCCCATCACCGTTCCATGAGCGGCCCGTGCCATCAGCGGACTCTCCCTGAAGTCGCCATGGGGGGACATTCAAACCATATGCTTTATTAAAAGTTGTAAGGAAAGCATGCCCAAGCTCGCCTTTTTTTGGCGACATCGCTGAGACCATCACACTGTGTTCCCACAACAGCATCAACCGTATGTCTCATCCCTGAAACAGAGCCCAGACGATGAGAGGGCACCTGGGACTGGAAATCTGCTCTATGGGAAAGGCCACACCGACCTTCCCAGCACCCACAGGGGACAGAAGGGTGACGGGAAAGGGTTCCGGCCCCAAGGCCACCGAGCTGCCCACCGAGCTCAGAGCAAGCGCTCGGGCCGGCCCGCCTCCGCCGCCCGCCAGCCGCCGCTCTCCCAGGCACCGCTCCTGGAGGTGTGCAACGGGGAGAGCCTTCCAGGTGCGCCGGGGGAAGTGAGGTTACTGGAACACGCTTTCGAATACAATGCGTGTGAGCCACTGCAGGTAAAGGTAATGACACCCCGCTTCCTGGTGCCGGGAACTCGGTGTTTGTCTTCCTGCTTCTGTCCACACAAACTCGAGTGCCCAGAGCGTGGCACTCTCAGGAATCCCCGTCTCTCCTCTGGTGGATGAGTCATCCAGGGCCTTGGCCCTGTGTCCTGCTCTTTCAGGGAAGACGGACTCTGGGGACGGACGGGGCACACACTCACGGCCGGGCCCACAGCCTCACCTTCAGGCAGCTCGCCCGTGAAGCTCTCCGTGCAGGGGGAACAGGGGCCCGAGGGGGCGGCAGCAGGAGGAAGCTGCTTGGTGCTGAAAGGTCACCCCAGTGCGTCCCCTAAGAGACAGCGGAGGGCTAGAAGCATTCTCACTACCAGGGCAGTCCTGTAACAGGGCGTTTGATGTCCTGAACGCTGGGTCACTGTTTTTAACGACACAGGGGGAGGGACAGGAAGGCCCTCGGATGGGTTTCAGCCCCCGGCGTGGAGAGCTGTGGCCGTGCTTCCTCTGCCAAACGAAGGGCCTCCCGCTGCACCGGTCCTCCTTCCGTCTGGGAACAAAGAGCCGCAAACCGCAGCGACAGAAGGCGCCCAGCCCCTCACTTTGGAAGGTGAATGGGAGGACAGCGAAGCCTCGTCACTGCCTTTCCACACTCAGGGAGTTTCGGGGCGTCCACCTCCCCAGCAGCCCACGGTCCAGTTCCAACCAATCCGACTGGCGGGTTTTGAGTACTGCTGTTCATGCTCTGTCACAAAACAACCCTTTTTCTCTTAAATTGGTGCTTTCACAAGGTTTTAAAAATGGTTTCGCTCCTGATTTCACTTGGTCTTCCAAAATCTCGCTTTGCGGTCTGATTCCCAGTCAGGACACATGCCTGGGTTGCAGGCCAGTTCCCAGCAGGGGGCGCACAAGAGACAAAATCTCGCTTTGTCAAAGGGGTGGGATGCCCGCCCCACCGGTCAGTGGGCACTGGGAACACGTGCTGTCCTGCGCACTCCAGGGTCACGCCCTTGGGCCCTCCTGTGAGGCGGCAGAGCAGAGGTCACTACCTGTTTTACAGACAGAGGCAGTGAGGTCCCGAGAGCATCTCTGAGTGGCCTCTGCGGACGGAAGCGGCCAAGGCAGGGCCTGGGTGAGCGGGCAAGGCCACACTCTGGACCGTGTGCTCTGCAGGCCTGGGCAGTGAGCAAAGACGGAAAAACGACACCTCTCCCCACAGAGCGGGAGCTGCTGCCCTGCGACTCAATGCAGAAAGACAAGAGTGCACACCCGTGAATATTTGAAAATGTGTGGTGTGACCCCCAAGTGCCCTGCTGCAGAGGGCCCAGTGCAGCCAGGCAGTAGCCGGCGAGTTGGGGGCTCGTCTCAGGGGTGAGGATTTCTGTACTCGGAGAGCCAAGGACGCACAATGCCCGGATATAGCCAGTGGCACCCACAGACAGGCCGTCAGCGACACACTGGGAACAGGACAGGAACTGCAGGAGAGGAAAGTACGGATGCTCGGGCCTGCACCTCCTGCTCTGAAACCCAGAGCATTCCCAAGGGCCCTGCAAACTGAAACCCTGGGCTCAGGCTGGGGACGGTCACCTCCTAAAGCCCCTGGCAGGAGAGCTGATCACAAAGCCACCGGCGGGACCACCTGTGCACAGACTCGCAGGGGCCCGGGAGGGGCTGGCAGGTCCCTGACCTGGAGAGGACAAGTGTGCAGACCAGTCTCTGGCCACTGCAGGGCACACGGCCCCACGCCCTGAGCAGCCAGCTGCGGGCATCGCTCCTGCACATGGTGCCGCCAGCTCAGCGAGACAGTCTGGGCCCCAGTCAGTGTCGCTTTGGGACGAGAACTTTCCTGAGAAAGAAAACAGGAGCCTCTGTCTCAGAACACGGCTGTTTGGAGAGTCACACTGCTGGTCTTTAGAGAAACATGAACAGCCTCCTGGCTCTCTGGGCTGCAGCTAAAATTACAGATTTTTTTAAATTGGTTTTCAGGCAAAAGATACATTACTCTGCATCAGATAGTAAAAAATTACTTTTGATGGCCATACTTCTACTATGTGTCAAAAACGATCACCAGTCACTTAGGGTACATTCACAGGTAGTAGCTGCGTTCATACGCAGCTCGGACGGACATGGTGCCTCCTCATCTTCTAGGGGCGGAGTCTGGGACAGGGCGGAGTCCGGGAAAGGGCCAGGAGAGCCAGGAGCTGGTGATTTGGACACAGGAGGAAGCGAATGGGAAGAGGACTGACTGTAAAGGAAGCAGAGGAGGAGGGTAGGGTAGGGAGGGGGGAGCGCAGCTCAGACCTGGAGAAGCCAGGGAAGGGCTCGGGCCTGGTATGGACACTGGGCTCACTCACCTCTGCCAGATGCACCAGGCCGCCCCACCCCCCAAATCTGTGTGCCGAAGACCTGACCCCGGGACCTCAGATCCTGACTGTGCCAGACACAAGGGCCCTGAAAGAGGTGACGGCGCTGGGTCTCGGTCACTGGGGTGGGATGCAGTCCACCATGCCAGGTGTCCCTACAGGAGGAGGAGACGAGGGCGGACAGGCAGAGGGGTGCTGTGTGTGGACACGGTGGAGGGCTGATGGCCTCCGGAGGAACCAGCCCCGTGGACACTGGATCCCCGGCCCCAGGCTGAGGGTGACACTCCTGTTGTCCAAGTGGCCGTCCACTTCCTAGGTTACAGCCACCCCAGCAGACTGACAGCCATCAGATCCCAGAGAGGAAGAGGCCAGTGGATCCCCACAGTAATGCCGGAGGACATTCCACTACACGTGACTGGTCACAGCAGGAATAGTGGGGAACCCTCGATGCTCAGAATTCTGAATTCAGAGTGTCTAGGCCAGCCCAGCCGCGAGGGACAACGGCAGGACTCGGTTGGGGCGGGTGTGCTGGCAGAGCCCCCCACACCCCCAGGCCCCTGGAAGGGGCGGGGTGGGCGAGAGGCCACCCCCGCAGAGCCCAGTCCTGTCACAGGACGCTGCCCCCCGGGCCCCCCCGCGGCTGCTGCGTCTGAGAGCCCCCTCCCCCCACCGTGCCCCCGGTGGTCCCCGGGCAGACTCCTACCTAGGATCCACTTCTCCGACAGGTGCGTGCCGGCGTCCTTCTTCCCGTGGCAGGGCCCGATGAAGATGCTGGCCTGGCGAGGGACGCCTGTGACCTGACCCCCGCACAGGCGGACCAGCTCCCACAGCTTGGCTCTGGGCGGGTCGCTGGCCGGGGAGATGAACATCGGGGGCTGCCCGGCGAACAGGGTCCCCCGGTATGGCCCCACGGACAAGTGGCGCTCGCGGCGGCAGAGCTGTGGGGGGAGACAGGAGGGTTAGGCCCCGGGACACTCGTGGGCTGCACAGGGCGCCTGCAGCGCTCGCTCCCTTTTTCGGGGAAGGCCCAGACTGAAAGCTCGAGGCGCAGTCTCGGGTGACTCTGAATTCTGAGGACCCAGGCAGATGGTGACATGGGTACTGCCACTTTCTGGTATAAGCCTTCGAATCATTATAAGTTCTGCACCCAAATACCTGGGCAGGGGAGGGCAGGGGGGACACCAGGTTCATCAGAGGAAGAATGGATCGTTCTCCCACCAGGTGTTCAAACCGCCCTCCTTTTTAGGAAAAGAACATCCTCCCATTAAAGAAACAGCTCCAGTGTTAACGGAGTCAACCCAAAGCCCTGACAGACGGGCACACGCGCTTTCCAATACTCAGTAAAACGACTTCTGGGAACGTCTTGATCGACGTTCTGAAAACTGGAATCCACGTGGGGCACCACTTATCAGACGCCCCTGCCCTGTGCAAGGGTGTGCAGGCACAGCCGTCCGCTGCCGCGGAGTCGGTCCCCCTGTAAACGCAGCCGGACACACGGCTCTGCTTATCGCCGAGCTCCAGCGCAGCTCCTTCCAGGACTCGGGGGGCCTGGTGCTCCCCACGCTCCCCGAGGGAGGGCAGGCCACTGCGCTGGACCCCGAGGGAGGCCCCCCAAGCCCTCGCTGTAAGGCCGGCCGGCACCGGTCATTTCTCGGCCTTCTCAATCCCTCCTATAAAGGGGATTCACAGCAATTTGCTCCTAAGTCTAACTTCATTTCAGAGTTTTACACACACACACACACTCACACACAACAAATGGCGCCACCTGCCAGAGAGGAGGATGGGTGAGCATGCGGGTGTGCCCACAGGGGCCAGGGGCATGGCGTGGGCGCTGGGGCGATGCTGTGCGCCTCGGCTCTTTCCTAGAAGAGGACCCGGGAGAGGACGAGGTTCATCTGCACCGACCGAGATGCTCTAACTAGAGACGGCTGCAGGACAGTTGTGGAGACCCCAGCTCTCAGAGGTGCTGCAAGGGGTCGAAGGAGAAGGGTCGACTAGGAGCACTGGAGTGAACTTGCATACGGACCGAAGAGACTGGGAGGCCACCTACACTGCCTGTGGGGGGAGCCCTCCCTCCGCTGCAGGTGAGCGGGCTGCAGCGTCCTGGGCCGCCCTAGTCCGGCTGCAATGGAGACCGCAAATGCAGCGCTTACGACCCTGCTGCCGCGGCCGCCCTGGGCCAGTGAAGCCAGGGCCTCGGGGGCCCCAGGGGCCGCCAGTGCTGACGAGGGGGCTGTAGAGCAGGGCTGCAGACCATGGCCACCTGGGCGGCTTTAAAGGCACAAGTGCCGGGCACTCTGGTCTCATTAAAGGGAATGTGACCTGGGGAGCAGACCTGTAAAAACCCTCCAAGGAGACAGAACCACCAAGTAGACTCAGAGGGGCTTGGGCAGCCAGCAGTTTGCCCTGGCAGGGCCTGTGTCCGAGAGGCAGAGGCCAGGAGACCCCGGGATTAGCCGTGGGAGTGGGTGCCACCTGCCCCACGTTGGTCTGCCCACCAGCAGAGGGGAAACTGCACGGCCCGGTCTCAAAAAGCCACTGGGGGAGGGGAAACCAGCCGAAGCCCACGAACCCAGCCAGTGCCATCTCCATTCCCCGCCCACTGAGAGGCCGGGCTCTCCCGCCTCCAGTGGTTGGCTCTGCAGGCCGACCTGCTCGGCGGCACCGCTGCCAAGGGCACCCCGGGTGGGACCCTGCTTCACCTCCACGGGCCTCCTGGGTTCCCAGGGCACCACCTGCTCCCGTTGCTGCTCTGGCCTCCCTGAGGTCTCGGTGCCCCTCCCTCCCTCTGGTCCACGTGGAGCAGGAGCCGAAGAGGCACTTCCCCAGCCGACTCTCCCGGCCCCTTCGGTCCACGACCGAGGGCTGCTGACTCCCAGAGGCCATCTGCCCCGGGGGCACCGGCCGGACACACTCCACAGGCCGGGGCTGTCGATGCAGCTTGTATTCAAAGCCATACTCTGGCTCGAGACTTACAGAATGACCTGTTGTGAATCTTATTTTTAGGTCCCTTTACAGTCCACCATTTGCTTTACGTCACTTCACCATCCACTGTGGTCCATGCCCCCACCTGAGTCAGGATGAGCTACGCTGGCTTTCTCAGAAGGTCTCTCTCCTCTTCCCTGAGGCATATCAGGTGGTTACACGCACACACCCATGCACACTCACCACGGATACACGCACACCCACGCACACTCACCACGGAAACACACACACTCACCACACTCACTACTCACACACACCACTCACCCCACACCCAGTCAACCACACACACACAATTTTATATATATTATATGCATATACTTATTTATAATTGTTTTCTACTTCGAAATTGCACACGCCCTCTTGGTTTACTGCATCTCTGAAAATAACCAGAATGGAATAAAACCCAGAAACCCAGAACAAGACCCTTCAGAGAGTGGCCAGAGGCCAGGCCCAGGCCCAGAGTTTAACAGAGCCCAGTGAGGCTGGGCCAAGGGGTGACTCAGGGGAAGGAGATGAGATCTGTCTACAAATACCTGGAGGCTGTAAACCAGCAGGAAGCCAGAACCGCGCCAGCCACAGAGGCCCACCAGGAATGTGCTGCGCATTCAGGAAAGGAAGCGGACGGAGGACCGGCAAGGAAGCCTTCCACCGGTGGTGCTGCTGTGGGGTGGGGCCGCAGGGCTGGCACGTCCCCCTCCACCCCCACCCCCATCCTTTCTGTCCCAGGCTCCCCCCCCCCCCCCTGTGTTTGAGCCCTGCATCTTTCCCACAGCTGGGCCCTGGTGTCCATCCACACCCGAGGCTGCGGGGCCCCTTCCTCAGGACGGCGGATTGAGCTCCATCTGCCCGCACAGCCCGGGGACCGGGCCCCTCGCTGGCTGCCGACCTGCCTGGTTGAGAGCAAAGGCCTCGGTCTGGTCTTCCCTCCTCTGGCCCCTAATGACCTCCTGGCCTTCTCAGAGAGTGCCTTTCTGTTTGCGGAAGCGGCCCCCAGACCCCTCCCAGTGCAGCGCCCACCCAGGGCCCTGTCTGATGCGCCCTTCCCATCAGGCTGGATTTCTACCCAAGACACCACTCAGTGTCTTCGGGACAGGTGTGGGGACAAACAGACAGGGACAGAACCATGGGCCTCACCCTCGGGAAGCGCACAGTCCAGCTGGAGAGACACACAGACGCTAATGCAGCGAGACAGAGCAACCCTTTCTTTCCACACTGCGGGGCTCACACTGGCGATGCGGGAATACCGCCGCGAAGCCATGTAGGAGTGGAATCGACTGCTCCTGGAGGTCGGGCAGCGCTGCCCAGAAAAGCCAGTCTTTGGGGCCGTTAGGAAGAGGGTGTGTGTGTGTGTGCTCGCGCATGTGGGGCACTGTGGGAAGCAGGCCGGGCGGCTGTCGGGGGGCAGTACTGGCGCAGAGGGCCTGGTCCCTGGCCTGGGCCGCTTGGCCCTCCTTTCTCAGCAGAGCCCTTGTTCAGTGTCTGCCAGGAGCAACCGCGGCCAGTGCAGGCCCCACTTTTGCGGCGCTATGATGACAGTAGGGGTCAGTCTGACAGGGCTGGGACTCTGGGACCCTGGACCTCCCTCTGGACAGACGACCATTGGATGTGCTGGACGGGCACTCTCACGGAAGCCCTGGGACATCTCGGATGGCGCAGGCTGGCCAGGCTCCCAAGCTGTGTCCACAAGGCAGGGCCATCATTAACATGCCAGAGAGGCGGGTCCTGCCCTGATCAAACAGTGGGGCAGAGACCCTGCCAGACACGTCCCCCGAGAAGATACACAGACGGCAAATGAAAAGATGCCCCAGGTCAGAGGTCACCAGGGAGGTGCAAATTGAACAGCACCGAGAGGCCACTGCACGCCTATTGGAGTGGCCAAAATCCAGACACAGACAGCGCCACGTGCTGGCGAGGGTGGGGAGCAGCAGGGATCTCCCTGCTGCTGGGGGTGGGGGGGCGGCGCACCCTCTCATGGCCACCGCGGGGGGCAGCCGGGCTGTTTGCTATAAAACTAACCCTACTCTCACCACACAATTCAGCAATTGGGCTACCTGATACTTGTCCAAAAGACCCGAAAACTGAATGTCCACACTAAGACCTGCCGGTGGGCGTTCACAGCAGCTCCCCTCGGAGCAGCCGAGACTCGGAAGCAGCCGAGACGCCCTTCAGTCGGTGGCAGGTGGAGAAACTGCGGTCCATCCAGTGGGTGGAATGCTCCCCGGCTAGAACGGACGGACGCACGAAACCCCGAGCTGCCCCGGGAAGTCAAGGAGCCTCAGGTGTGTGTTACTCGGTCCAAGAGCCAGCCTGAAAAGGCCACACACACACACACTGTGTGAGTCCAACCCTGTGACATCCTGGAAAAGGCCAAACTACAGGGACAGTACAGAGATCCTGGCTGCTGGGTGGGGGAGGGGTGAGCAGGCGGAGCCCGGGGCATTTTCCAGGCAGGGACACCAGTCTGTGTGGGGACAGTAGTCTGTGTGAAAATGTAATGGTGGACACATGTCACTATGTGTTTCTCCAAACCCACAGAACGTGCCACACAGAGTGATCCTGATGTCACTGTGGGCTCTGGATGACGATGCTGTGTCAGGACAGGTTCCTCACTTGGGACAAATGCCCCGTCTGGTGGGCTGCAGCCAGTGAGGGAGGTTGGGAGTGTGTGCGAGTGTGAGTGTGCGAGTGTGAGTGTGCGAGTGTGAGTGTGCGTGTGTGGTGGGCGTGTATGGGGCACCTCCCTCTCGGTCCCACTCGGGGCCTGACGCCGCTCTGACAGTACGGTCCTCACTCAGACAGAAAGCAGGTGCGGCGTCTGCCGGGAACGGGCCTTCGGCACCCGCCCCTCTTCAAAGCCTCCGTGCCGCTGTGTCTCGGCGCCTCTCTGAGGGGTCTTGGGATGTTCAGGGTGGTCTTAGATGACCTGACTTGGCAGAAAGGAGGGCCACCCAGC